CGGCGGTCGAGATAATCGGAGTGGGAAAGGAACGCTGCTGCATCGGTCGATTGTCGATGGAGGTTCGAAACAGGTTGGAGAATAACGCATCAGTTGTTTTAAATAGATTGTTTTTCAACCTGTTACGAGCATAACGGGCGGAGGTCGAGATATTATGGCGCTGTATGTTTCAGTACGTTATTAAGTTTCAATATTTAGGTATTTATTTATTCTGAAAAATGTTCAGAATAATATTTTAAGATTTTTTAAAAATGTATACAGGGTGTTTTGAAAAATCTGGTCATTGATTAATCACGATCCTAATTAAAGCCCTTGACAAAAAAGCTGATTTTTGGAAAACGGATTGACTTTAGGGTGTAGAGGTTCGATAAGAAGAGATTTTTCGAAACTCTAATTCTAAGGGGGTGAAACCACCCTCATACAATATTTGTTATTTAAAAAACGGTTAGTCTTTCGGGAAAACGCTTGGACACGCATAATTTATTTTTTTTTACATACTTTGAAATTTTTTAAAAAATCATACAGGGTGTTCCAAAAAATTGTGTAATTGATTAACCACGATTCTGCTTAAACTACTCGACGTTTAAAGCTTATTTTTGGCAAATGTGAGAAAATTCTATCCAGTTTGTATGTTAATAGAAATTCTTGCTTTGCTTTATCATCACCATTACAAATTATTAATTCGACGCGAACGAAGTCGCGGGTACACGCTAGTTTAAGTGTAAAATTAATTCGAACTCTAGTGTGTAGTTGGTTTACTTATGAAGAGTATACTACACATTTTCTTATACTGCTATTTTTTTACCGCAAATGGTAAAATTATAACTAAGAGCTTCTCGCCCGTCGAGTGGGATGCACCCTGGACCGGATCGAGGGGCAAGGCGTAGGTAGATCGGAATGTATACGTATAGACGAGTGGCGGAATTTTGTTTTTTTTATATCGCAATTTGTAAACAGCGCTTATTTGTAAACAACCACCGTTTTTAGAGAGGTACTTTAGTAACAATCGATATTTAGAAATGTTTTGACACCCTGGAAATACTACCACCGAGCATGTCATTGTTGCAACTTCCAACTGCGTTAATACGCCTGGCGGTGACCGCCTCATACTCTTTCAGATATTTAGCAATAAAATAAAGAAACCTGTTATTTTTAAGCTGTTATTTTAAGCTGTTTTTTTATAAATAACTATAACAGTTTCAACTGTTATCTAAAAATAACAGTTTTGCCCATCACTAATACAATCTACATCTACATCTGCAACACTAACTTGCTTAAGATTATATTTTATTACTTTATCGACAAAAATTATTTATTTATTTTTGACTTATTAAAATGTCCTATATACAGAACAAGGTCAAAAGAAATATCAATGTGAAACACAAAGTGTATTGAATTTACTCTACACATACGCTATGACAAAGAGAATGTAGACATGCCCTATCTAAAAGGGGCAATACTGGATAAAATAGAATTTAGAAAACAATTTAGTTTCCTTTGTAACCACACGGGTTCTATAATTTAATAAGCGAAGTGGTGAATGTGACATAAATCAAGAAACAGACTTTTGATAAGGGCACAAAGCAGGGAAACTCGGGCAGGACAACTTTAATACAATAAATTGGAGTTAGAATGGTCTATAATAGGGTGTAGAAATTTTCCGGAGTTTCATAGAGATTTGACGGATATAAAAATCTTGTTAAGATAAATTAATTGTTAGGTTAGCCTCATTTGAAATATTAATAACCCTAAAATACCTTTTTAAAAAGTAAAAATACGATGCGTTGCGCTATTGTTTGTGATGTTGGCGAACTCAATTTTCCTAAAATAGTTTTATACAGATGGTGAAAATACACGCAAAGATATATTTCAGTTAAATGCAACAAGGTGTTCAAAATAAATGTACAGGTTGTTAATTTGTTTATTACTCGCGGCAAGAGCTTTATGGTTGAAATATGGCAACCTCGGCCCGCTCGTCGAGAGACGACGCGACGGGACGGAGTCGGCAGCTTAGCTTAGTACTCATTTAGAATGTAGGCAGTGTTGTCATTCTGTTCTCCAATAAGTAACTGTCCAGTTAACAATCTGTATATGTATATTCAAAAATAATTTTGAATTGTGAATCTCAACATTCCCAAAACCTTTTCCATTTAACATTTCTTTTTTGTCATTGTCAAGACAACAATAAAGTAATGAACATTATTCTATCGTTGGTTCACCCTGTACAGTGCAACTCAGAAACATACACACACATAGTAATACTTCGTAAAATTTATATTTTGATTGTAAAAACCTATTTCGGTTTTAGGATTTAAAATTATGGTATTTTAAGTAGTTTTTATGTCTCGGTTAGTAGTCTAAAACAACTATGCTTTTATACATTCGTTCTTTTAGTAGTAACTATTATTTTCCTGATAGCACTTCAAAAGGAAGTAAAACCATTATTGACCATTACTAACTTAAGAATAAAAACTGTAAAGGAGTCATTTTTCCAACTCCCTTTTTTTTAACAAAGTTGTATTATATTTTTGAACGGTTTCATATCCAATTTCAGTAACCAAAGTTTTCTCGAAAGCATTTACACCTGATTTTATGCGTCTATAATAAAATATATAATTCTACTTAGTGTAGTATTGAAACTGCTTCTTATATTGGTATTGCACTAAAACTCGGGATCAGGGAAAAGCACAATGTCCACTGGAGAAACAGACAGGGGCACAGGCACAGCAAGGCTTTTATCCTTGTTTATATATTCTTAAAGTTTCTCAACCGACTAGACAAAATGTGCTGCCAACTGGAGGTCAAATCGTGAACCTTTCGGGGCGGAGTCAAAAATATCGATTATTTTCGTTATTTTCCTCAGAGTAATGTAATAATATAGCCCAGGGTTTCTGCGAACTTTAATAGTGATCAGCTGATTAAGAAATTTAAACAAAACTTTTATTTTATTGTAAATTGTGGATTATTTTTGCCTGTTATTTTAAGAATTCTAAACGGTATTAACAAAGAAATTATTATTTCGATATGTTCGTACATTATTTATAATTTATGATAATGCTAATTGCTGTTAATTAATATTTTAAAAAAAGTTACATACCTATTTTAATTTGATTTAATGCAGGTTTATAAAAGAACCATTTCATGCTTAGATTATTTTATTCTAAATTGAGTGCTTTACGAATTTTACGATATTTTTCTTTTGAAAACATAAAACTTTTTACATTTTTGATGCCAACTAATTGGCACGGTATTATTGGTATGGAAATTAGCCAAGAAAGAAAAGAATAGGCTATAACTTGCAATTTTTCGAAAAAAAAAACATATTATACCTATATCGCTGAAAAGCTTAAAAAATGGCGCTTTTTATGAAGTCATGGCTAACTATGGTTTCCATTTAAAAAAACATGTTTGTGTCGTAAGTCAAAAATGGCAGACTTTAGAAAAAAAACAGAAAACACAAACTCATTAGGTATGTGATTATCTACAACTTTTTTCTGAAAACTTTTTATCTAAAATACCGTATGATCAAATAAAAACGGCGTCAGCGATGGCTATGAAATGACGATCGATGATATTTCCCATATAATTTTACATATAAAATGACAGCCATCTTCATTTCATAGCCATCGTTGACGCCGTTTTTATTTGATCATACGGTAGATTATAATGGAATTAGAGACAAGTTTTAAAATAGCCAAAATTATTTTTTTTCTAAATATCTAGTAAGCCTGGAACTTCTCCGAAAAATCCGAAAGACGCATATTTATGACTCCACAAAACTGCAATTCTTGTTATAGTGTATCTATCACAATACTTAATAGAATTACTACAATTAGAAGAAAAACAAAAAGAAAAAATACCCAAATGCCTTCACCTACTACTCATTTACAAAATAAACGAATATAATCTCTTATAAAAACACTACACAACCACTTCTTGTATTCTACACCGAAAAAATTATCAACTAATACTAATTAATCAAACAAAAAGAAAAAATAACCAAATTATCCCTTCACCTACTACTTAACTACAAAATAAACTATAAAAACACTACTAAACTATTTCTGGTATTCTACACTAAACATTATAATTAAACTTAATACAATTAATCTAATTTTACACTACAACTACAAAGAAATAAGAACATTTTTTAAAACTAGAAGAAACAGAACTTCGGTACGTCTCCACCAGTATAATAGATCAAGCGGACAAAGAATATAAAATACTTTAAAAATATGCATTCAGAAAGAAAAAAATTCTCGAAAATTATCTAAACAAACATTTTTTTTTCTTATCAGTGAAAAACATCGGCCTCGTCGGCCTTGCGGAATTTGTCGGGTATTTACAATGGTCGAATTGTATAATTACCAGCTTTTATAGCATATGTAATAGACAAAAAGTATCTGGTCGATTAGTAACCAATTGGCACAGTCCGAAAATTATCGATTTTTATTTTTTCTGTTTTTATTGGTCGCTTCAAAACTCAGAGTAACAAAAAATATTTTTCTCTAGTAAAAGACTGTGAAATACGCCCCGCCATCTGGTGCTTTACATCCATAAACTTCTTAGGTTGAGCTACTGTAAAAATGCATATACAAGGCTTTTATCCAAGGACCTAGCTCTAAAACCGCAAAAGAACTGCTAATGCTTAGCAGGAATGAAGCGCGGATTACAACAGGCTTGACAGGACACATGGCTGTCAAGTGTTACCTGAACAAGCTCAACCTGTATCAAGGAAGTCTTTGCTGCAGACTCTGCGATAAAGATCCTGAAACAGCGGAGCACATAATATGTCACTGCGAGAGTCTGTATCGCAAGCGATACTATTTATTTGGGAAAGCTAGGCTAGAACCTGGAGGAACTATGCTCCCATCCTATCAAGGACCTGCATAAGTTAGTGCAGGGCACAGGGATAGGATTCTATATCTGCAGGGTGCAGATATAGAAAGGTCCCTTGTTATGGAAAAAAATATATTGGTATACTTATAACTACAACTTACTTTTGGTCGTCAATTGGAATATCTGAAGCTGCATCAAAAGGTGGAACGTCACAAGAGATATCCTTATTATTTTCCAATACCGATGAAATCTGAGGGGACACTTCATCCCACATACCGTCTAAATCAAGTTCTCTGGGTTGAGAAGCAACAGCTGATCGTCCTAAAAATAACAGGAGTATATTGTATTTTCTTGGATAGATATATAAAAATTTTAGTTTTTTTTCTAGTTAATAGTCAACCATAATTAAACAATAGTATATTGTTTTATTAGGAGTAAAAATGATACTTCTTGTGGAGAGGCTGTACGTTTGACATTACAGGCGAGGCACAAAAAGTCATTTTTACTCCTAATAAAACAATATACTTTTAGGCGTAAAAGTGCTTTACTTTTACGCCGCGTCGTAAAAATTAATACTTTTGTGACGTTTGAAAAAAAAGTAACTTATTTTCAAAAAGTATTTGAAGAATAATATTATTTAATAAAAAAACAATTGAAAAACATGAATCATGTCTACTGATCAAATAGTATATATAGATGGCATTCATAAAATATATGAACAAAGAAATGCACCCAAAAGGCTATAAAGTTCGTCGATTCTGAATGGAAACCTCCACTTTTCTTTTATGCACCGTAGAATGAAAAAGACACTTTGTACGAAGTTGTCTACATTTATAGTTTCCAAATATTTGCAAGTATTATCTTACTATACACATCTTCAAAAGAACTGTTTTTTATTACCCATAAAAACAATCTACCAATATTTAAACTTTTACGTCCAAAATACGACCGAAAATAATTTCTTAATTACTTTGAGTCGTTAAAGCCAACGCGAGATAATAAGATTTATTATGATCGAATTGATTCTCCGCAATTCATTATGTCAACAACGCCACGGGTAAAATTTTAATTTTCTTTATTATTTTACCTACTTGTGGCTTCCAAATTCAAATTTATTTACGGCAAACCGGTCGTCGACTGCTCGGTTCTTGAAAAGGGGAAAATTAGACCGTCGGATAAGGATGGTAACCATATATCGATGTATTAAATATATCGATATACAGGGTTGTTCACCACATACGACACGGAGTATTGTAGCTAAACGACTAGATTTTTACAAATCGTAAGTTTTGGGTTCGTTGAAGGAGTATTAGAGCTACAATTTAAAAATATTTTTACAAGATAAAAGTGTCCCAAATAAATAAAAAATATCAAAGTTGTATTTTTTTGTACTCTATACATTACTACATTTTTAGTTTCTACGATTAAAATAAAGGTAAATTTGATTAAGGTTTATTACACTTAAACCTTACCGTTTTTGAAATATTTTCAATTTTGTGAAATTGCAGTATAAATTTTAAGGCTTCATTTCTCCGAGGATATCAAAGTTTTTAATACTAAATATCTACTGAAGTTTATTTATTAATCAGTTATTGTGTTGCAATAATAAAAACATTACTACCTTATACAGAGTGTCTAAAAATTTATTTTAAATAATTACTAGCTTTAAACGGCAATAACTTGTTTAATTTAAATGGAACACCCTGTATATTTTATGAGAATCAGATGCACAATTTAATTGTCTATAAAATTGTATTATACCATTTTTTACCTATCTCTTCAAGTTTCCGTAGAAAATGCATTTTCTTGTAATTTAGAACTCATTTATCAATATGCCCATGGAATACCGACATTTTAGATTAGTTTTAAAGATGTACCAAATTTTTAAAGAGTACAGATACTAATATTGTCAATATAGTTCGTTTATTTCATTAAAAAATAAAAAAAAACTGTTTAAATATTTGTTAAAGAGGACCAGTTAATATGATTCCAATATTCAAACTACATTAATTGACTGTTTGCGTTGATTAATAATAATTGCTTCAAATACTAAAAAAGTGAATTATGTATGTGTATTAGACAGTGTGGTAAAAAGTAACACCTTAAAAATGATATTTAATTTTTTGACAAATGCTTATTTATAACAACAGAGACGTTCATTTTCATAACTTATTATTATATTGATTTCTGATTCAAATCCACATTTATTTAGAATAATTTATTAACGAACACAATTAAGTATGAAGTTAATTAATATAGACTGCTGGTATATTTAATTAATGGTATACTGTTTTATAAAGATTTAAATAGTTTTCTTTTTGGTTCTCATAAAATATACAGGGTGTTATATTTAAATTAAATAAGTTATTGCCATTTAAAGCTAGTCATTATTTAAAATAAATTTTTAGACACTCTGTATAAGGTAGTATAATTTTTATTATTGCAACACAATAACTGATCAATAAACTTCAGTAAATATTTAGTATTAAAAACTTTGATATCCTCGGAGAAATGAAGCCTTAAAATTTATACTGCAATTTCGCAAAATTGAAAATATTTCAAAAAACGGTAAGGTTTAAGTGTAATAAACCTTAATCAAATTTACCTTTATTTTAATCGTAGAAACTAAAAATGCAATAATATACAGGGTGTTCCTTTTAAAAAAAAATACAACTTTGATATTTTTTATTTATTTGGGACACTCTGTTTCAAAAAATCATGAAAATGGGGCTAAAAATAACAAAAATAATTAACACTTTAAAGTTGACGAAACATTTTTCCGTTGTGTTTTTTTTGCATCTGAGAGTACATCGATATATTTTCAAGTTGCCTCATCCCTAATCTAAGCAATTTAAATAACGAAGCGTTCCCCTAAAAAGGCCGATGGAAAATAGGCTTTACTTTGACCATTAGACGGGGCTTTACCATGTTTTGCAGCCGGCCGGACCGCAAATAGCCGAATTAAAAGACGTTCGGATAGGGCAACGTTATTTTTTATTGGATACTTCTCGACCAAACCTTTTCGACACGGCGATCGCTCGCCTTTTCCGGACATTTTCACGATTAATAGCCCCAATAAAAAACGATTAGTCCCAAGATAACTAATACTTTTTCTGTTTCAATTTTACCGCTGAACAAGGAGAAAACGCTTCCGCTACAATGGAAACGTGAAATATGCTTTATATTAAAGGGGAGCTATCAGGTTGATTTTGATATATATATGAAATATACATGGTGTCTCAAAATAACTAACTTCAAGTAATGACGAGTTAAACTAAAGAGAAAAAATTTGTACAATGCGATCGTTCGTTTCTACGGCTCGTTCTGTAATGCATTTAATTAATATTTTTGTTAAAATGATATTTACCGACTATAAACCATTAAATATCGGACTAAAAAAAAATTACTAACTTCAACTTAATGAACAGTGCTTTCCATAAAATTAATAAAATGAAAAATATACGAAATAATATACATGTACTGATTTCTTTCGAAAATCGACAACTATGAAACTATGATCCCTTCCCTGACACAAACGGTACATTATGAGACAGGAAATTGTAGAAAGAAATAAGCCCTATAACATAGGATACAACATTTTAATGAACAGTGCTTTGCGTAAAATCAATAAAATGAAAAATATACGAAATAATATACATGTACTGATTTCTTTCGAAAATCGACAACTATGAAACTATGATCCCTTCCCCGACACAAACGGTACATTGTGAGACAGGAAACTGTAGAAAGAAATAAGCCCTATAACATAGGATACAACATTTTAATAAACAGTGCTTTACATAAAATCAATAAAATGAAAAATATAAGAAATAATATACATATACTGATTTCTTTCGAAAATCGACAACTATGAAACTATGAACACTTCCCGGACACAAACCGTACATTGTGAGATAGGAAATTGTAGAGAGAAACAAGACCTATAAGATAGGATACAACATTTTAATGAACAGTGCTTTCCATAAAATCAATAAAATGAAAAATATACGAAATAATATACATGTTACTGATTTCTTTCGAAAATCGACAACTATAAAACTATGAACCCTTCCCGGACACAAACGGTACATTGTGAGACAGTAAATTGTAGAGAGGAACAAGCCCTATAACATAAGATACAACATTTTAATGAACAGTGCTTTACATAAAATCAATAAAATGAAAAATATACGGAATATACATGTACTGATTTCTTTGGAAAATCGACAACTATGAAACTATGAACACTTTCCGGACACAAACCGTACATTGTGAGATAGGAAATTGTAGAGAGAAACAAGACCTATAAGATAGGATACAACATTTTAATGAACAGTGCTTTCCATAAAATCAATAAAATGAAAAATATACGAAATAATATACATATACTGATTTCTTTCGAAAATCGACAAATATGAAACTATGAACCCTTCCCCGATACAAACGGTACATTGTGAGACAGGAAATTGTAGAAAGAAACAAGCCCTATAACATAAGATACAACATTTTAATGAACAGTGCTTTCCATAAAATCAATAAAATGAAAAATGTACGAAATAATATACATATACTGATTTCTTTCGAAAATCGACAATTATGAAACTGATCCCTTCCCCGACACAAACGGTAATGGGTTAAGATATTATGTAAATTTTGGGGAACAAATAGATGTAATTAAAATTTTGTCGCCTACCCAGTCCCACAGGCCACGAGCCGCCACTGCATTGTCCTACACATAAAAAAAACATAAAAATATCGGAATATATTCAATTATTGCGGAATACAATCTACGTTTTGAAATTTTTAGATTTTAATACTTTCCATTGAAACTATTTTAGTTTTCACCATTTGTTTCCCCTATTTCCATTTATTTAGCTTCCTATTGATTGATTCCAGCGCTTTGACGTATAATTCAAACAGCTTGATTATCCACGCCCACTTCGGTTCTGTTCATGCTGACATATGATTAGCGCCAGTAAGTTTTTAACGGAAGTGGAACATCAAATAGCACTCTGGCACATACATAATTAATTTTTAATCATCTTTTTAAATGACACTCTAGTTATGTTTTATTAGATCGATCGGTGCAAATTGCATATATGCGTGTTCCTAACAAATAATAATTGAGCAACAGGATAATACATAATTCACGTGATCTAAACATACGTAATGTTGCTTATAAATACAAAATTAAATAAAATATATTAATATATTTAATAATAAATAAAGTATTCTGTACAGAGTGTCCTATTTTCGTGCGTGTTGCAGAGTTTCTCGTTAATTATTAATTTTTCTTTAAAGAGAAAATTGCAAGTATCCAA